AACTGGTAGAATCGCTTCAAAAGGTGCTCAAGGACGAGAATCAATTGAGTTTACTCCATGCGAGTTTTGAGGGTTTGAAGGATCCGGTGTATTCAACATCGATTCTGAAGAAAGTTGACATGAACCATGATCAAGGTGAGGTTATGAAACTGCTCTAATTGTTGGTCACCGATGAGGACAGATTGCGGTTGCTCGAAGCGTCCTTGAATGATGACCGTCTCAAGTTGTTTGAAAAAGCTGTAGAGACATCAGGACGTTTGACATTTGAAGACATGCTGAGCAGTACGGAATTGGATCCAGTGAAGCCGTTCCAAGCGATTCTCAGCGATCAGAAAAAAGTGATATTGCTTAAAGAAGCTGTTAGGGATGAAGAGCATTTGAATAAATTTAGATTGGTTTTGGACAGCAAGAGCAGCACGAACATCAATTACGAACTCAAGAGCGTTTTGGTTGGTAAGGAATGGGCGAAGAAATTCGATATGGTGTTAGAGGATATGAATTTAGTGTTTTTTCTAAGGGTGGCTGTAAAGGACAATGATCGTGCGAAGTTTAGAGCGGCTTTGGAGGAACAAACACAGTTTCAAGTGTTTGAAGAGGTATCGAACAAAAATAATTTGGTCAATGTGTTCAGGTCGATACTTGAGGAAGAAAAGCAGTTGCATAACCTTAAAATGGTTGTTTCATACGAGTTCTATTGGATGTTCAAAGATTATTTCGATTTAAAAAATAGACTGATGCTGGAATTACAGACGATGAAGTGGTTGAAGGACAAGGATACAAACACCGTATTGGTTCGGTTGAACCAACTGTATAATAAGTGTTTACCTGTTCCTTAGTTTAATTAGTGCTTTAAATGTTTACACAATCCCATCTAACTTTCTTTAATATCATTTTGTGCTTTCCAAATGGTTTGGGCTTCTCATTTGCGCTGATTAAGTTTTCAAAGTAAATAATCGACGAACAATTTGAGATAGAAACAGAGTGCAAAAATCAGGGGTCAATTCTCAGACCCAACGACGAATTGGATAGTGGAGGAACGTGAGGTGACATCCTAGTAGTGCATTTCTCTTAGTCAAGAACAGTAAAATAGTACGCTATCTTAAGACATTTGAAATGCAATGGGGCATCTCTTGTTATCTTGTACACTTAAACCCTACACATAAAGCGGGGGAAATACTGTGTCTTCGTGTCTTGTCGTATACGTTCGTAACCGCAAAAGTAGTTTTGCACATCCAGTACTAGCACTGCTGTTGTCATTGGACTCCAAGGCTGCATAACCAAACAATTTGCAGTAAACTCGTTTTCTTCATTTTCAAGATTCCATGTTGAATCGTGTCCATTTTCAGTTTTCAATGAGCTGCACAAGTTGAAATGCTTGAGATTGATGACAATTAAGACGTGCAAGTGCGGACTTCATTTTCGGGAAATAAATTTCCGGAGTTTTGTATTGTCAGGGTACTCAGACGGTTAGGCAGTAAAGTTGTTGCCTCTTGACGCTGTTGCTCACGTTGTTGCTTGCACATTAATTCTTGCTTTGCATCTCGACTCTGTTGCATTTGTTGCTCTTGTTGCATTAATACTCGTGAAGTTGTTTCAGAACAAAGAAATCGGATCGTGATCAAAAAGTGCGTGCGATCCAAATACGCTTCACAAATAAGCTCGAACATTTTAATTGAGTG